AAATTCATAAGTAGAAAGCTCACGTGAGCTTCTTCATAATTAGAGGAGCGAGATCGATCGTTTGTGCGACGATCGCGAATCGTGCGCGTTTGTTCGATATTTTCGTAAATTAACACAATGAATCATATATGTAACGCGAAAAAACATGTGACTCGATTCTGATCCTTCCAGTTCGAAAATGAGAGCCTTTTAATCGTGAAATCCTTGGAAAAAGAGCTCCGCTCAGACTCTAAAACTTCCGCCCGCGTGCGAGGTTTATCTCTTCTTGTAGAAATGAATGGGGAATTTTCGAAGGAAGGTATTCAGACGCGTGCAAACGAGTTCTAGCGTCTCGATAAACGCGCACACCATAAAGACGATCATTAATCCTCCACGGACCACCATTTCGGAGACGAAGCACACATTTGCGATTTATAGATCAAAAGGAACTGATCGGGCATTCCTTTTGAATAATCTCGTCCGTGAGGGATTAAATTGGTCGGGGGAGGGAGGGGCAAAAGGGAGAAAGAGTGTATAAGGGCATATTTTCGCTATAAACACTACTATTACTATTATTATTACTGCTACTACTACTACTACTACTACTACTACTATTACTACTACTACTACTACTACTACTACTTTTAACTTAAGTTATACACCCTACGAAAGAGACCGAGCAGACCAGACGAGAATTTATTTTTGGTCCGTGAAATAATATAGCGAGGTAATATTTTTCTCATCAATCCAGCCGTATACACGATAAATCTGTATACGGATATAAATCTGTATAAAAGAGCCGTATAGCGTTTATATTATACATATATATATATATAGCAAGCCGTTGTAGCTAGCAATCGTATATATATGTATATAGCTTTTGAAAGACACGGCTGAACACTATGTCGCTGTAAGCTATGTATTTCTTAACGACAACAACAACGTGAAAACGTTCACTGCCAAATTGTGATAAACGTGAGAGATCCCACCTAGCCAGGAGCGTTTTCTTGACTTCTGATCGCATTGACCAATCGTTTTCGCGCCCCCATCCACTCTCCTCTGTTTTCCACAATCTTCCCCATTACAAGAGTTCACTCCCTCGTGTAATCATAATAATAATATAATAATAATAATAAATAGTTACCGCGCATCCAATCCGATCATAGTCATCTATTTTTCCTTAAATAAAAGCTAGACTAATCTAGACAAGGAGGAACGAAGAAGTTAGTCTCGACCAATGCAGCTAGAAAACGAAGGAAACCGCTCTCCCCTATTTTAAACGCCACGATTATGGCCGTATTTTAAAGCGACAGAAAGATATTGTAGAGCGAAGCGATATTTTTAAACGGGGTACGTTTTACCTGTCGAAAGAAGGAGACGAGAGAGAGAGAGAGAGAGAGAGAGAGAGAGAGATAAAAGAGGGGAAAGGAAGCATCATCCGGACCGCCTTTTTAGCGCTCTTCTAATTGTATGTTCATTATGTGTACAGTGCCTTTGTATCTTAAATGAGACAAGTCTCCCCTTCGTCCCTCGGAGAAGGCACTCGACTCGAGCAAAATTTTCCGAGCATCCTCGACAAGGAAATAATATTTATTGGCTCAAAAAAAAAAAGAGTTATAATCGCGATAAACTGTCATTGTTTTTAACATGTTACGAATTCTCCACAATGTAAATTAGAAGGGATATAATTTAAGATAGAAAATTGATCATTGGAGAAAATTTAAGAGATCAATTCTCTCATTATTAAATATAAATTTATTGCGAAAAAAGAAAATCCTGAATTAATCAAGTAGACAAGACCTTGTCTTTTTATAACAATGTCCAATTATCTGTCTAAATTTTTCAAATTGGCAAATGACATGTAATTGACATTTTTTATCTTTGAAATTCTTCAGAGAATGCGAAATTTTGCTGATGATAATCAGTTAACGATTCAGCGAAGCAGATGCGTTGATCTGAGGGAAAGGGAGGCGCGCGGTCCTTCCTACGTGTCGTGACGTTCTTCTGACTAGGTTCATAATTGTAATGAATTGTCTAATGATTAATATGTAAAATTAGATTAATTATTCGAGTATGTTGTAAAAGTCGTGTACAGAACCGGCCGATCGAATCGGTGCGAGAAGATGCGGTGGCCCGTCGGAATCGCGCGGCGGTGGCCATCCTGTAGCTAGCCTTATTATGATTATCATTATTGCCATTATTATCATGGATTATTATTACGATTATAAATATTGTGTTTACCGTAATAATGTGTAATATACGAGGTTACACAGAGCCAGAGACGTTGTGCATTTCCACCTGTCACCGACTATAATTAATAATTATATTAGTGTAATAATAATGCCTTTTACAGTGAGCATATTATGATGCTGTTCTGTGATATAATTA